ATTTCTACAGGTTAGCAGTGAGACGTTACAGAGGAGGTCTAGTGCGAGAATTATTGCTCTTGCTCTGACGTTTGTGGCGATTCCTCACGTGTGTGGTTTGAACACCATTTACATATGTGGGCATGGCCTACAGAAATAAGTATTTGATCCCCTGCTGATTTTGAATGTTTGCCCACTCACAAAGAAATGATCGGTCTATAAATCGAATGTTCGGTGTATTGTAACACCGAGTGACAGAATAGCAACAAAAAATTCCAAAGAAATGCATGTCTAACAAATGATGCACTGATTTGCATGTTCATGAGGGAAATAAGTATTTGATTCCCTATCATTCAGCGGGATTTCTGGCTAACAGGTGTCTTTCATACAGGTAACAAACTGAGATTAGAAGCAGTCTCTTAAAGGGAGTGCTGCTAATCTCACATTGTTACCTGTATAAAAGACACCTGTCCACAGGAGCAATCAAACAATCAGATTCCAAACTCTCCACCATGGCAAAGACCAAAGAGCTGTCCAAGGATGTCAGGGACAAGATTGTAGACCTACACAAGACTGAATTGGGCTACCAAACTATCGCCAAGCAGCTTGGTGAGAAGGTGACAACAGTTGGTGCAATCATTCACAAATGGAAGAAACACAAAACAACTGTCAGTCTCCCTAGGTCTGGTGCACCATGCAAGATATCACCTCGTAGAGTGTCAATGATCATGAGAACAGTGAGGAATCATCCCAGAACTACACGTGAGGATCTTATCAATGATCTCCAGGCAGCTGGGACCACAGTCACCAAGAAAACAATTGGTAACACACTACGCCGACAAGGATTGAAATCCCGCAGTGCCCGCAAGGCCCTCTGCTCAAGAAAGCACATGTCCAGGCCCGTCTGAAGTTTGCCACTGAACATCTGAATGATGCAGAGGAGGACTGGTTGAAAGTGTTGTGGTCAGATGAGACCAAATTCGAGCTCTTTGGCATCAACTCAACTCGCCGTGTTTGGAGGAGGAGGAATGCTGCCTATGACCCCAAGAACACCATCCCAACTGTCAAACATGGTGGTGGAAACATTCTGCTTTGGGGGTGTTTTTCTGCTAAGGGGACAGGACAACTGCACCGCATCAAAGGCAAGATGGACGGGGCAATGTACCATCAAATCTCGGGTGTGAACCTTCTTCCTTCAGCCAGGACATTAAAAATGGGTCGTGGATGGGTGTTCCAGCATGACAATGACCCAAAACACATGGCCAAGGCAACAAAGGAGTGGCTTAAGAAGAAACACATTAAGGTCCTGGAGTGGCCTAGCCAGTCTTCAGACCTTAATCTGATTGAAAATTTGTAGAGGGAGCTGAAAGTTCGAGTTGCCAAACCTCAGCCACAAAACCTCAATGACTTGGAGAGGATCTGCCAAGACTAGTGGACCAAAATCCCTCCTGAGATGTGTGCAAACCTGGTGGCCAACTACAGGAAACGTCCGACCTCTGTGATTGCCAACAAGGGATTTGCCACCAAGTACTAAGTCATGTTTTGTGAAGGAATCAAATACTTATTTCCCTCATGAACATGCAGATCAGTCATCATTTGTTAGTCATGCATTTCTGCTGAATTTGTTGTTGCTATTCTGTCTCTCAGTGTTACAATACACCGAACATTCGATTTTTAGACTGATCATTTCTCTGTGAATGGGCAAATATTCAAAGTCAACAGAGGATCAAATACTTATTTCCTTCACTGTATGCGTTCACCACTACGTGCGAGCACGGGGGGACAGGGGGCACTTTAAACTTTTTTTGTTTTAATTTGTCTGGTTTTTTTTTGCGCTGTCCCTTTCATTAAATTTTAATCACTTTTATTCTTATCACAAGAAATGCATGCATCCCTTGTGATAGAAATAATTAGTGACAGGTCCTCTTTATGGAGAGATATGTGGTCAATAAGACCCCACATCTTTCCTCAGCAATGTAAAGCATTCGATCAAAAAAAGCATTGATCTAGTGCTTTAAAAAACAAAACCGGTAATGGGAAGTGACTTAGCTCTCAGGCATGATTATGAAATACATAATTTCTCATAATTACTCAACGATGGATGTGAAGACACACCTCTGCATCACCATATACTGAATCTACCCTGCAGACAACAAAGTTTAGACCCCACCTCTCAATCTTTTGTCAAGCAAAGACAACGGCGGAGCCCTGATAGGATTTGATCACAAGTTGGCGGCTAAAGAACGTACGGGAAGAGAAAGCCAACAAAGCAGAACCTACAGAACTGAGAAGTATCCAGCTCTTCACATCATGCGATTAATTATTGCTGCTTACCTGCGCTTGTTCTGCATTCATAGACGGCGCTGGTCTTCCATGTTTTTACTTCTCTCTTCACTTCTGTTGCTGCTTTTTCTGTCTCTGTCCGGGTATTTGGGAAGAGTCTTTGTCTCGAGCACTGCCCATCTTCTACCCAAACCCTTCTCAGCTTTCCTCTTCTCGACTCTCCAGCATACCATTGCCACCTTTCCTGCTCTCTCCCGCCAATGCTTGCTCCCCACCACCCTTACTCCTTATTTTAGTCTCCAGTGCCCCTTCCCATAGAGATAGGAGAGATACAATCCGACAGACTTGGGGGAGCCTCTCTTCCGCCACGGCTTCTTCCACCCTAACTCTGTTCGTCTTGGCAGTTCCTGATAAAGCAGAAGAGAGATCAGCCCTGGTGCATGAAGCAGTGGTTCATGGAGACATCATTCAAGCCAACTTCACTGACTCTTACCGGAACCTGACACTAAAAACTCTAACCGGATTGGCATGGGCCTTGCAGAAGTGCCAAGGTGCTCGATTTCTGCTCAAGACCGATGATGATGTCTTTGTCAACACTCTGGCCTTGTCAGCCTTTCTAAGGGAGCAGCAGCAGGGACTCCAGTATTTCGGCCGGATAAACTGGCGTGTCTTTGCCTGTCGGGATCCAAAGAATCGCCACTATGTGTCACATGAGCTTTATACCGGTCACTATTTTCCCCCGTATTGTAGTGGCATCAGCTACATTTTGTCTCATGGAGCAGTTGGTCACCTTTTGCAGGAAGCTGGTAATGGCCCTTGGCCTGCGGTTGAGGATGTTTACACCGGCATCTTGGCAAAGGCAGCTGGTATCGCCCCCCAACATGTTGCTAAGATAGCAGGTGTTGAATCAATCCCGCACAACAGTTGCTGTTACCGGACCATGTTTACCTCCCACGGACATGCACCCCGTGGTATGCAGGAGGCCTGGAATATGCTGAAAGAGGAAACAAAACACTGGTGCCCCCCGCTAACCCTACTATACTGTAGAACATTTGGGCAGCCATTGGATCAAGGAGAAAATGGAGCCAGTTAACAATCTGGAAATATATCTTCTTGGGATTGGGGTTGTGATAGACATGACCTGGACCAACTAAATTCCTGAAATTATACAGAGTACCGATAAAAAGGTTGACATCTAATATTTTGGAACCTTTTTCTATTATGGATGAGAAACACATTCACTCCTCTTGAAAGTCTTCGGATGGCTTTTAGGTTCAACAGACCAGCTCCTGAATTCCAGATGTGTAAAAGTATCTCATGAGGGTCTCTTGATTGGCAGCTGACAATTACAATTTCCGTTTCTTTTTTCTAAACTCTGCTAGAGATGTAAGAAATATGGTTCCTGCTAACAACCGACTCATTTCATACGTTGAGCGCTTTTTTTTTTTTTTCCTGTGTGAAATCTCCTGGGCAGCTCCAGATGTTCCAACTACTGAAATATTCTGCTACCTTACTGAACCACTTGAACTACTGAAATGACGTTGGAGATCAGTTATGTTTTGGATGAACTTGTGCATTGTGACTCTCTCAATACTAAAGTGACTCTGCTATTTACAACTTGACATTTTTGGGATTCCCGAATACTGTGCAGCTAAAGAGCCTTGTTTGTGGTGATATCCAACAGCAGCTGTACCTCGGATCCCTCTTTGGTTTCATATTTCTGAAGAATCTGTATTTTTTTTTATTCTGATACCTTTTGAGAGGTTTTTGGCATTTTCTTTTTTTAGGGTTTGCAGTTATCAACTTTTCTTTTTTTTTTTTTTTTTTTTAAAGGTACTTATTAACATTACTACCCTGGAAGGTCCTTTTGAAGTAAATTTAGGTCTAGTGGAGCCAATGCTAATGATTTCTAATTGTATCTCACCACTAGTCTGATTGAATTCACAATTCCTGGTCAGTCCCGTTCCCTGATCTATAATAACCTTTAGGGCCAGTTCACACTACATGTGTTTCAGTTGCTTTTTCTGCATCCAAAACGCACAGAAAGAAAGTTATATTGTTGTCAATGTCATAGTTCACATCAGCGCTTGCAGTTCCAGTGCGTTGCAGGTGCTGCCAAAAAGTTGAACAGGCTGCATTGTTTATGCATAGGACTGTACTGGAATGCGGTAAAACGCCCTGGAACGCACTAAATCGCACATTTCCCTAATTAAATTGAGGAAAAAGAGAGGAGAAAAAATTAACTGGAATGCATAAAAAAATGCACTGGAACACGCTAAACATGCATCAAAAACATGCATGCAAAAACGCATCTGGAACACATCTAGACTGTGTTTCTATAGTGTGAACTGGCCCTTAGGACTTGTTCACACCATATGTGGTGCAGAAATATATGCAAGAGCATGCAAAGAAATGCAATGCCCTCTGCAGATGTGCGCAGGTACCATGATGAAAACTTAATTGCACCTCCACACGTTTAGTAAACACAGACGCATTCACAGCCACCAAAACGCATGGCACCACACTACTGTGCGGTTAGGTGCAACACACTTTTAAAATAATATGCCTGCAGTATTTTTGCATGTTCCCACACATTAGGCAGCCCTTTGAAATTAATGAGCTGAGGAAAAAAAAAAGTAAAAAATACCCCTATCACACAGGTCCTCTGGCCAGTACAGCATGAATGAGGGGGTTGTTCATGTGACTGGAGCCACCTATTACACTATGGGAACACAGCAGCTGTATGTGATGGCCACTGATAAGATGCACTGATGGACACTGATAGGTGGCACTGATGGGCACTGATAAGGAGGCACTGGTAGGTGGCACTGATGGGCATTGACAGGCATCACTGATGGGCACTGAAAGGCAGCACTGATATATGGCACTGATAGGCGGCACTGACTGGCACTGATAGGCGGCACTGACTGGCACTGATAGGCGGCACTGATGCGCACTGATAGGTGGTACTGACTGGCACTGATTGGTGGCACTGATTGGCAGCACTGATAGGTGGCACTGATTGGCATTGATAGGTGGCACTGACTGGCACTGATGGGTGACACTGAAAGGCAGCTCAGATGGGCACTGATATATGTGGCATTGATATGTGCACTGGTAGGCACTGATATGTGGCACTGATGGGCACTGGCAGGTGGCACTGTTGGACACTGACAGCTGGCACTTCTGGGGCCACACTGATCATCCGGGCACACTGATCAGTGACCTGATGATCAGTGTACATGTCCCCTCCGAGGAATGCCGATTACCGACTCTCCTCTCCTCTGTCAGCGTGACAGCTCAAGAGGAGAGAAATGCTGATAACCGTCATTTCCCTGTTTACATGCGATCAGCTGTGATTGGACACAGCTGATCACATGACCGAGCCGACATCTTCGTCTCTTTCCGTTGATCGGTGATTCGCTGTGTCCACACAGCGCACTGCCGATCGCGGCGCTGCGCGCTCCCTGAGCCTCGCATGCGCAGTGAGAATGGAAGGACATTATATGACGTCCTATCAGAACAAGAGAACCACCTTGCGCCCATCATTGGACTATATGGCGAGCGGGAGGTGGTTAAACAGCGTCTAAAAAGAAAGCGCCCACGGCAGAGGACTAAAATGTGTTCTGCACATGCTCATTTCTATCCCTGCATAGACGTTGGAAAAGCGTCTATTTCTTGACTGTCACGAATTCCCTTAAAAAACTATTTTTTACTCATTGAAAATTTTTTTTGAAATGTAATATATTGTTTAAAGTGAAGTCCAGATATTTGGGAAAGCAAATTTCAATGTGAACATGTCTCTGCAGTGATTTTTCATTGTGTTAGATGTTCTTCTAGCACGACTGCTTTCTTAGACCTATTCCTGGATTGTGCCTAGTTAGTAAATTTGGAGTCTACTTGTTAGACTCTTTCTTTGGTAAATGTCTTTGCCGTCTGTAAGGAAATATGTCGTATTAACTGTCATCCATGTTGTATAATGCCTTCATTTCTGGACGACAGTTAGTTTCGGTTTTGTAACTTCTCTCTCGTTTTCTTAGACTAGTTTCATTTCTGTCAACGGAACTTCCTTATATGGTGTCCCTCAACTATTTGCAGTTTCTGTTTTTTATGTAACTTATTGATAAGAATGGAATGTTTCATTGGTCATCCTGAGATTAAGCAACTCATGCTGAGTTCTGTATAACTGTTCTTGTCATGCATTAAAATTTCAGAGATTTAGATTTCACACTTCGGTGTTTGTAGCTTTATTTCTCCAAGGCCTGAGGGTGAAAATAACGAGGACAAGGGCTACAGACCAGGGGCGGACTGACAACTCATGGGGCCCCCGGGCAATAGGGGATCATGTGGCCCCTGGGTCCTTGCCCACACTCAAATCACACCAAAAAAAGCCTATGAAAGGTACCAGGGACATCTCATGGGGCCTCCTACTGACCCCGGGCCCTCGGCAGTGCCCGAGTTTCCCATTGGGCAGTCCGCCCCTGCTACAGACATAGGTTGAATCCTTGCAATCTGGTGTCAGGAAGTGGGATTAAAGGCGTGGGTGGTCAGGTAAGCTGAGCCAGTCTTAGTTTTACCTGGATTGTCCCCCTTTAAGACCCAGGGACAGTAGCCAAAGTTTCCATTTGAGATTGTTGGATCTCACGGAGAGTCTCTGAGGTGGGTCCTCAAAGGGAATTCAGAGGTTTTGGAACCTCTGGGGAAAAATTGCCTAGGCAGGTATAATTGTGAATTCACAGGAGTCCTCGTTTATTTGTTCCATTTTAGAAGTATAAGTGCTTATTTGCTGTATGTTAAGAAACTGTTAAGTAGTAATTTGTGTTACAGTATAGGGATATTACAAGGTCCATACTTTTAAGTGTTAAACTCCTGAAATGTCGGCATAACAGCCTCTCCGCTCGGGCCCCTTCTCTTCTCCATCTACACCTCCTCCCTTGGCCAACTCATACACTCTCACGGCTTCAACTACCACCTCTATGCCGACGACACACAAATCTATCTCTCAACCCCCCCCCACCTCACCCCCTCGGTCTCCGCTCGAATCACACACCTACTGAGCGACATATCAGACTGGATGTCGCTCCACTTCCTTAAACTGACCCTCTCCAAAACCGAGTTTCTTGTCTTCCCCCCCAGCCCGGACACCACCCCCCATTGACTTCTCCATCACATCCAACAACGCTACCATCAAACCCGCCCCGCAGGCCAGAGTACTTGGTGTCATTCTGGACTCCAACCTATCCTTCCAGCCCCAAGTCCAATCTTTAACAAACTTGTGCAGACTCCACCTCCGCAACATCACCAAAATCCGCACGTTCCTAACCCCAGAAACCACTAAGCAGCTCATCCACTTCCTCATCATATCACGACTCGACTACTGCAACTCCCTCCTCACTGGCCTGCCTCGCCACAGGCTATCCCCGCTTCAGTCCATCCTGAATACGGCTGCCAGACTCATTCACCTTTCCAACCACTCCATCTCCACCACCCCCCTCTGCCAATCCCCTCACTGGCTTCCGATTGCGCAACGGATCAAATTCAAAATCCTAACACTGACGTACAAAGCCGTCCACCATACTGCCCCGAACTACATCACTGCCCCAATAACCAAGTACCACCCAACACACACACTCCACTCCTCACAAGACCTCCTTCTCTCTAGTTCCCTGGTCTCCTCCTCCCATGCCCGCCTCCAGGACTTCTCCAGGGTGTCACCCATCCTCTGGAACTCCCTGCCCCAACCCATCATTTTATCACCTACTCTCCTCTCCTTTAGGCGCACCCTGAAAACCCATCTCTTCAGGGAAGCCTACCCCACCCCCTGCTAACTTGCCGACCTCCTCCACTCTTCCTACCACTGCATCCCCCACAGCTATCTCCTCCTGTGCCACCATCCCCTCCCTCCTAGATTGTAAGCTCCAAGGAGCAGGGCCCTCGATCCCCTCATGTTTTGCATTGTATTGTTATTGTTCTGTCACATGTTCTGTCCCCCTTTGTAATGTACAGCGCTGAGCGAAAACTATTGGCGCTTTATAAATACTGTATAATAATAATAATCCTGACACTGTAATATTTATTGCTTTGCCTAACAGCTGTTTTTGCTTTAAGGGGGTATATCTAAGGTGAGAGATCTCTACCCAAACATTAAGCTCCCGCGTAAAGCGTTAAGTGATATTGCTGAAAAAAAAAGAGACAATATATCCTGAATTGTCTAGATTAACTTGTAAGGAATATGTGATAATGGTATTGTTAGGGGATACAGTATCTGAAAGCAGCAGGTTTTCACTGGCTGAAATATGCATCTGGTTACACTCCAGAGCACAGTAACGTAAATCTCTACTCTTTACCCCCCCCCCCCCCCCACCGTCTGCTCCAACAAGTTATACAAAAGTATATTCAGCTTTGCCTAAAAGAGAGGATGATTTTTTTTTTCTCCTCAGACCTTAAAGGGCAGACAGACCATCACAATCTCCCTTAGTTCAGGCAGAAAAACAGAGTCCTGATAGTACAGAAAGGGAGAAAGGAGGGGTAGAGAAGGGAGGAGGAGAGGAGAGCCATACGAGACAGACAGTGTTCACAGCAGAACATGAAATGAATAATTGATGGAATTTTGGGATATGACATGGTCTCAGGTTTGACTGGACAAAGGTGCCTACAATATATGTTCTAGTTGATCCTGGAACCCAAGCAGTCACCCATGTATGGCTGAAGAAGACAAAGGTGTGAGAGTAGGTGACCGCCGAGATGGAGAGAATATGGAAGAGTAGGATATCATTAGCAACTCCTGTTGTTTGTAAGCAAGGAACAAAAGAGACAGTGACAGAGTATGTGAAAAGATTTAGAAACATTTGGAAGGAAGAAGCTGGGATGAATATAGTTAGTGCAGAAATGGGCACTATACAGTTGCAAGAAAAAGTATGTGAACCCCTTGGGATTACGTGGAGTTTTGCATGAATTGGGCATAAAATGTGCTCTGAACGTCATCTAAGTCACAACAATAGAAGAACACAGTCTGCTGAACATAATACTACACAAACATTAGATGTTGCCATGGTTTAATTGCACATAACATGTAAACATTCACAGTGCAGGGAGGAAAAAGTATGTGAACCTTTGGACTTAATAACTGGTTGACCCTCCTTTGGCAGCAATAACCTCAACCAAACGTTTCCTGTAGTTGCAGATCAGACCTGCACGACGATCTGGAGTCATTTTGGACCACTCCTCTTCACAAAACTGTTTCAGCGTAGCAATATTCTTGGGATGTCTGGTGTGAATCGCTCTCTTAAGGTCATGCCACAGCATTTCAATCGGGTTGAGGTCAGGACTCTGACTGGGCCACTCCAGAGGGCGTATTCTGTGCTGTTACAGCCTTTGTTTTGTTGAATTACTTGTATGCTTTGGGTCATTGTCCTGTTGCATCACCCATCCTCTGCGGAGCTTCAGTTGGCGGACAGATGGTCGTACGTTTTCCTGCAAAATGTCTTGATAAACTCTGGAATTCACTTTTCCATCAATGACAACAATCCGTCCAGGCCCTGAGGCAGCAAAGCAGCCCCAAACCATGATGCTCCCTCCGCCATGTTTTACAGTGGGGATGAGGTTTTGATGTTGGTGTGCTGTGCCTTTTTTTCTCCACACATAGTGTTGTGTGTTCTTCCCAAACAACTCAATCTTGGTTTCATCTGTCCACAGTATATTTTGCCAGTAGTGCTGTGGAACATCCAGGTGCTCTTTTGCAAACTTCAAACGTGCTGCAATATTCTTTTTGGACAGCAATGGCTTCCTCCGTGGTGTCCTCCCATGTACTCCATTCTTGTTTAATGTTTTCCTTATTGTAGATGTGTCAACAAAAATGTTAGCATGTGCCAGAGATTTCTGTAGGTCTTTAGCTGACACTCTGGGATTCTTCTTTACCTCATGCAGCATTCTGTGCTGTGCTCTTGCAGTCATTTTTACAGGACGACCACGCCTAGGGAGAGTAGCAACAGTGCTAAACTTTCTCCATTTGCAGACAGTCTGTCTTACCGTGGACACATGAACATCAAGGCTTTTGGAGATACTTTTGTAACCCTTTCCAGCTTCATGCAAGTCAACATTTCTTGATCGTAGGTCTTCTGAGAGCTCTTTTCTGCAAGGCATGGTTTACATCAGACAGTGCTTCTTGAAACCAGTAAACCCAAAACAGGTGTGTGTTTTTTTAAGGGCAGGACAGCTGTCAGCAACACATCCAATATCATCACACTGATTGGAGTCAAGGTTGGCTCACTCCTGGCTCCAATTAGCTCTGGGAGAAGTCATTAAGCTAGGGCCTCACATACTTTTTCCTCCCTGCACTGTGAATGTTTACATGTTATGTGCAATGAAACCATGGCAACATCTAATGTTTGTGTAGTATTATGTTCAGCAGACTGTGTTCTTCTATTGTTGTGACTTAGATGACGTTCAGAGCACATTTTATGCCCAATTCATGCAAAACTCCACGTAATCCCAAGGGGTTCACATACTTTTTCTTGCAACTGTATATATCCAAACCTTGATGGCAGGATACAGGTTTGAAATTTTGCTGTTGGTAAGACAGCCTATTTCAAACTGGACAGAGATGGATGCAGGTATGTTTGAAAAACAAGTGATGGAGAAAGACGCCGCTGAATGTTTTGAGGTTTCCAGATTTACAAAGCACATTTTCAGGAGTTACAACATAGTTCTAATCCTAGATAAAGAGGTAGCAAAAGAAATAGGGGACAAGAGTAGAATGTGAATCTTCAGACGGTATCACTGGGACATGTGCCAAAACCTGGGAAACACCCTTTTGAGTATTTCAGACTCTCACGGGAAAGGTTCCATAGTGAAACATTCTTTCAAAATCATATCAGGATGCCCTGTGAATTTGCTAGGCAGAGATCTGTTGGGAAAATCCAAGGCCACAATCAGATTAATTGAAAAGGGAGGGGTGCACATGGAGTCATCTCACTGTTTTGTGAGCATGATAGGTTTAGACAAAGTGAAGCCTGAAGGCTGTGCCAACAGTAAGCTAGATGAAGGTACATTCTCTGTATACCTTACAAGGCCAGATTCAAACCTGCAGTTGGTCCAGTATATCAAAAGCAGTATCCTTTGTCACAAGGAGATTGATGGTACTTACTTTACTGTTTAGAGCAAGATCTCAGGGCCATTAACAATCTCATTATTCCAATTACACCCATTGTCCCAGATGTGCCTTCATTGATTACCTCCATTCCACACGATACACAGTATTATCCTGTGATCGATTTAAGCAAAGTTTTTTTTAATCTGTCCAAGTTGACGAAGAGACACAACTACTGTTAAGTTTTACTCTGCCCAACAAACAGT